CTCAAGGGAGTAGTGGGAGGCAGCTGGCCACAAGTTAGGGAGCCCGGGGAAATTGTGAGAAAGGAGGAGCTAGCAGCCTGAAGGACCTCAAATTTGTGGCCTGCAGGTCAGAAGTGAGGTGTCAAGTGGCCCCCAAGTTCGTGGCTGGCTTCTGCCTTTTGGCTGACTGAAGGAGGGTGTCCTTTTAACTAGACCTGCCCTAGCTCAGGGTAGGAAGTCAGAGACAGCAGCTCTGTGCAGGTGTCTGGAGTTGGAATAGGACAGAGTGCCCAGTGGATTGTTCTATCTTTGAAATTGGGGGCAGGAAAACCTGGAATGTGATTTTTGAGTGACTAAAAAGGTAAAGCTTAAGAGAAGCTATTCAACTACTTTATTATCCTTTTAAAAATGTTTCCAATTGTATTTTCTCTTTGTGATCCAGAGTAAACACAGGTACTTACCCTAAAAAAAAAAAAACCTACCATAGCAAGTTGACTAAACAGTTATTCTTGAAAAAAATTAACTAGCTCAACTGTGTACAAAGTGGAATAAACCCTCTGGTAAGTATGTGTGGAGGATTTCTTTGGTGGATCTTCAAAGGCACTACTGAGCTGACATTTTATTGAATCTAGTACTCACTGTTGTATATTTTAGTATTTCTAAAATTACAAAGTAGCTTATGATAGATATGAACGAAAAAGGTTGTTATTAAGTATCATATACAATGAAACTGATTTAAGAAGATAGGAAAGAAGCAGGGGACAGGATTTACCTGGTGGGGGCAAGAGGGAACTCTATGGAATTATAGTAATGTCTTCTCTATCTTAATAGGGTTTCAAATCAAACAATTTAAACTCATTGCCATTGAGCTGGAACTAACTCATAGCTGACACCCCCCTCCCCCGCCCCAGTCAGGTTTTCTCCCACAGAGCAACAGAGCACCTGGTGGATCTGAATCATGTGTCCTTGGGTTGGCAGTGCAACTGGTTTCCACTAAACCACCAGAGCTCTCATAAGATTTAGATTACATAATGCAACAATGAATGAATGGAAACCCAAAATCTCTGTAAATGTTCATTAAAATTAATAAAATTTAATAAAAAAAATTTAGATTACATAAGTAATCCAGCAATTGTATACATAAAATTCATAATAAATAAATTTTGCCTCAGACAATAAAGAGAAAACATATTGGATTAGTTTATGTTTAATTAATTATGTTTTTGTTACTCATCGACACTCCAGCAGGTTTCGGAGGCTGTAAATCATAGGAGGGAACTGCCCATCTTCATCCTGAGAAGCAACTAGTGGATTTGAACAGCTTGTTTTTGTGGTGGCAGCACAAGTCCTTACACACTGGGCTGTACATATCCTGAATTACATACAAGGGAAATGTACTGATGTCTATAATTCAACTTCAAGTGCATCAAACGAAAGCAAGGATTGATGAATGGACAGATTGAAAGAGGTAATAAAGCAAACATAACCCACTGCCATCAAGCTAATTCTGATTCAGTGAAGACCTCTAGTGGGATTTCAATAGCAATAAACCTTTAGAGGAAAAGATGCGGCGTAAAATATAATGCACCATGCCATCGGAGTTCCTAACGAAACAAGTAAAGGCTACTAGTAAAATCTAGGGAGCTGATATATGAGGGTCATGGCAAAATTAACACTGATTTATGTTTGGAAATAATCATAACAAAATGTTGGGGAATGTTAGCAATTAAAGCAGCAGCATAGTACATGAAGATTGCTACTCAGAGTACAGGCTCTGTATCCATGAAGAGATTAACCAGACTTACCTTTTAACTAGTTTACTCATCAATGATAAAATGATGGCATCAGTTATCCAATTGCAGGGGCCAGTGTCTGCAATAAGGAGCCCTAGTGGTGCACTGGCTACAGTGCTCTGTTTAGCTACTAATCTCTCTGAGAGACAAAGATGTGGCAGTCTCCCTCCATAAAGATCACAGCCTTTAACGCTGTGGTAGTTTAACTCTGCCCTCCTATTGGGTTGCTATGGGGAGGTCTGGTGACTAGTCAGTCCACACAGTGTTTTGCTGCTAACCCAACGACCTCCCCTCTCTGGAGGTTCAAATCCACCAGTCACTCTTGGAAGGAAGACAAGCAGTCTCCTGCCCTTTAATTCATAACCTTGGAAGCTCAATGGAAGTTATGCTGTAAGTCAGTTACAACTCAACAGCAATGAGTGAGGTAGCTAGTGGCACTGTGCATGAAGCATCTAGCTACCAACCAAAAGGTTTCTTCGAATCCATATGCTCAGTGGGAGAGCATAACCTTCTCTCATAAAGATTATGAGCTTAAAAACACAACAGAGTGTGTTATGACTCAGAAGTGACTTGACAGCAGTGAGTAACTTAGAAACGGGATTATGAGAAAGAAGAAGGGGTCAACAGTTTAACTTCAACAGTTTAAGCCCTGAGTTGACAGAAAGGAAAATGGGAGAGGGATCCTTTATGTGGAAGAACAAAGGTTAAAGCGTAATTTTTCAATATCCGAAATTTAAATTTAGTCACAATTTTACACCTTATGCTTTGAGAATATCAAATCACTTGTTAGGTTGCTTGGTACCACCTCACACCTCACTTGCTGTCTTCTGTGCCTACAAGGTTGGTTCACCTGGCAAATCAAGACATCACCAGGGACTGTGACAATGAGGGTCCACAAACAAATCCTGTTTCCTGTTCGTGCTCCTCAGCTATGTTACTTCCAGTGTGGGGAGAGTTCTAGCCCCTTGGAGGTCTGGGCACCTGTCTTTTTCCTTACCTCTTTCTCTCTCATGCCACACTCAGGGGTAGTCCTAGATCAATAAAACTGCAATTTAAAACCTCAAGTTTTTACTTTTTCTAGTAAGAATACTGCAAACAATAAGTCCCGTCTTTCCTTTAAAAGAAAGAACATTTTATTCCCAAAGTGGGAAAGATATGATCTCGAAGTAAAAGTAGTCCTTTAAATGAAATAATAATTTAGCTTTATTAACAAAGAGTCACTCAGAGGCCATTGTTCTCATTGAATGGGAACACGTCTGTGTATCACCATTCCACCCTTCTCTTCATCTGGTTCTCTTTACACTTTGAACCTCCACAACTCAGCACACTCCCATTCTTCAGCTTCCCACACACCTGTGGCCCCATTTATTGTCACTCATCATCTTTGACCACAACTGCCAACTCTACCTGCTTGCCCATGCCAGAATCTCCAGTATTCTCTGTTCAACTTCATCAAGACTTCTAGTTCTTTGGTCCATTTACTTTCTCCCCATCATTGCCCTCCTCCTCTCTTTAATCCATTTCCATGGTCCATCACGATAGAATTTCTCTTGCCAATATCCTCAATTCTCTTGTGTCACTGTCCTCCATTGCATCCACCTGCAAAATGTTGCAGATGCCTTACTTTGTCCATTCCAACCTCCTTCTAGTAGACTGGAGGCAGTAACAGTTCCAAATGTTTTAGACCTTGCTGGGTGTCTACCCACTTGGGTAACGTTTCTCACACTGACTCTGGCCTTGGTCATGTGACTTGCTTTGATGAGTAAGTTAGCCGTGAATATTCTACACAGCATGAACAGTACTTGCTGTTCTCTAAACTCTGCAATTATGTTAGAACGCGTGCTAAACAATGAGAGGACATGTGGAGGAGGACCGAGGTTGACCAGCCAGCAGATACTCAGAGACCACCTGACCCAGTAGCTGACTGCTGATATGAAGTGCATCCCACACAAGATCCGCTGAGCCTTACTCAGATCAAAGCATCACCCAGCTGAACCCAACAATGAAGGCTGTGAAGCCTGAAGAACCACGTGGACCGAGAGAACTACAAAAAGAGAGATATATATATATATCTCTCTTTTCATAGTTCTCTCGGTCTTCTATTCCAATATAGTGTTCATTATCTACCACCTCAATCTCTGGTTGGCCCTCAGGAGTTGGTTCCCCTCAGATTTTCTGCTCTGCCTTCTCTTTCACAACACTCTTTGCTATTCACCAGGCTGCTTGTTACCATCTGTACCTCAGATCTCTCCGCAGTTCCAAGTCTGTACAGTCAGTAGCCCAGTGGACAGTTCCATTTACATGAGCTACAGGCACCTCAAACATCATAAACCAGTTTCTTCCATTCCCAACCTAGTCTTTCTCTCATCTTTCCCATTTCAAGACATACTCTGCTCAGTCAGCTAGCCAGGTACTTATGTGCACAAGGTGGATATCATCCATAACTTTCAACTCTTGATTCCTCTCTCTTGGGCCATAAAGAAATCACTAAGTATTGGCAAGTCTATCTGTCTCTTAAACTAAACAGCACTTAAATCCATATGCAGGTTCATAACCACTTCTCAATCTGAGGTTATCATCTCGTGCCTGGATTACTCAACAAGCCTCTTAAACGCTCTTTTCGCTACAGCTCCTCCTCTAACTCATTTTCACACTGCAGTCAAATCAATCTTTCTAATGTGCAAATCCATATCTTATCCTGTCAGAGACATTGTTCCATTAGATGATAAATCTCTAGTATTTAACACACTGTGTATCAGGAATATGACAATCAATCAACATATGTTTAATGAATCAATTATTGAAAAGTACTGCAGGTTAAAATTTGGACATACAAAGCGAGCTCTGGTTGCCTCGTGGCAAGAAGCTGCACTGCAAACCCAGTGGTGAGCGGTTCAAATCCACCAGATGCTATGCTCGAGAAGGAGGAACAATCTCCTGTACCAGTCAAATCTGATTTGACGGTATACACACACAAATAAAATTTAAAAATAAAAATTTGGACATATAAACTAAAGATGTTAAGTTTTATAAATTAACATTATAAAGTGGTAGAAAGCTCAGTTTGATAACCAAATATTTAAGTAACCTTGATAATCATAGTCTTAAAATGAAAACTGCAAAGTTTATAGCAAATTCTTAGAAATTACTGTTCTACTCCAACACTCAAATGTTACATAAACATTCTCTACTCCTGGTAGAGCTAAAAACAATTCAATATTCACTTACGTGCAAAGAATTGACTGGTCCTCACGATCTGTAAAAACAAGAGAGTGGCCATTAGCTTGGCTTTGAAATATTTGATATAATAAAGTTGCACCAATAGACTATGAAATAGTATTAACTCTATTTCTCAAACTAAGCTTTAATGGTGTAATCCAGACAAAGCTGCACCGCTAACCCAAAGGCTATGCTTCTCTACAATCAACAGTAGGCACTAGCAGTCAGGAAATCAAAAGACAAACTGCAATGGGAAAACTTGATGTCAGGGACCTCTCCAGAGTACTGAGAAGCAACAATGTTAGTCTGGAGACGAAGGTGCACTTGATCCAGGCCATAGTCTTCGCAATTACTTGCTAGGTATCAGAGAACTGGGCAATGACTAGGACAGATGAACTGATGTCTTTGAGTTGTGGTGCTGGACAAGAGTCTTGAACATATCATGGGCTGCTAAGAGAACAAATAGGTCTGTCTGGGAGAGGTGAAATGTTTCTCTTTGGAGGCTAGGACTTTGAAGCTCTGTCTCACATACTTTGGGCACATGGCCAGGAGGGTTGATCCTTGGAGAAGGACACCATGCTCAGAAGGATGGAAAGACAGCACAGAAGAGGAAAAGCCTGGATGAGATGGATTGATATAGTAACTAGGGCAATGGGAGTAGGTGTTTTTAAGTCAGTGAGACTGGCTCAGGACAGGATAGGCTTTAGGGCTGTTGTACACAGTGTCGCTATGAGTCTCAAGCAACTCAACAGCACACAACAACAGCAAAAACATGCGTCTCTAGTGGTCTGAGTCCACCAGCCACCCCACAGGAGAAGAGAGGCAGTCTTTTCCCATGCTATTTACAGGCCCGGAAAGCTGCTAGAGAGGCAGTTATGAGTTGGAACTGACTCGACAGCAAAGACATCATCATAATCAATCCTCAAGTCATGTTTACTCTACCCCAGTCCGACCACCAAAACCCCAAATTCATTGCCATCAAGTTGATTCCTATTCAGAGAAACCCTTTAGTGAGTTTCTGAGGATATAAATCACAACAGAAGGAATAGCCTTCTTTCGCATGCTGTCTCCTTGGAGTTTCTCAGTTAGAAGAACAACTTACTAGGAGACTACACCGTAAGAGCTCCCTACTCCTACTAAATGGCCCTTAAATTTAATTAAGTTCATTCATTAACTCCCATTATTATGCCAGTGGTTAAGTCAAAACAAGTCAGAATTACGCACAATGGAATACTATGCTGCATTGAAAAACAAGGGACTCATGCAATATTATTCAAAATGGTTGACTCTGGAGAACATTATGCTGAGTGAAATATCCCAGTCACAAAAGGACAAATATTGCATGGTGCCACTGTTGTAGAATGGGACTGTCCTTGGGGTTGGGGAGAGACTGAGTAAGATGGGTTCAATAATGTATATTGCACTGAAACAGAGGAGGGAGAAAACTGTTTAAAAGAGATATGTGACTAGGTATTTCTGTCATCACAGGAGTCTAGAGCGATGGCTCCATGGTGGAGGGGACCTGGGGGAGGGTTTGTAAAACAATGAAAGAATCTTTTCTTTTACTTTTTCATAATTTTTGACTCATGTACTTATAACTGGTTAGTCAAATTTGTGTCTTCTAGGTTGCAACACCCCCATGATACATCTTCAAGGATATGAACATGTACGGCCAAGCATAATCAATAAGAGTGCATCTAAATTCCAAAATCAATCTCCATAATAGTCTATGTGTTTCCTACTGCCAAAGGGGCCCTTTAGAGTAGTGAGAGAAGACCTTCACCCTGAAACCCACAGCGTCCCTTTTCAGCAGGAAGTAGCTAAGAGAATACGCCATCCCCTTTTCCTTATGAATCAGGGTGAAGTCTCTCTCAGGGAGGAGTGATAGGGAATGGCAAAGGACACACTGACAAAGGAGATTAATCAGAACTGACTTTGACAAGCACTGTGGCAACTGGACAATTAAAACAGACATTCGGATGGTGGGGGAAGAAGAACAAACTGGGGAGGAGGGTAGAGAAAATGGTCCAGCAGTGAAGGAGTGAAGACCCAAAATCCCTGTAAATGCTCATTAAAATTAATAAATTTAATAATAAAAAATAAACAAGTCAGAATTACTAGATTATTACAGACATTATTTGCCTCCATGGCATGCTATATCTGGTCAAGCTCATTCTTATCTCACACCCTACTGTCCTGGACCCATTCTAGCTCAAAAAACCACTGGGGGATGGCAGCACCTGTTAGAAGTGATCGCCCATTTTTTTCCTCCTATGAAGCCTCTGGCAGATTCAAACCACTAGAGAGATGCTGCCTTTGGGTTAGCACCACAACTCCCCACAGATAAGGTCACCCAAGATTTAAGGGGGTACATTCCTACATAAAGCTTAGCTACTGTTTCAAGTTGAAGTGCTATATATACCAAAACTATCAAATAATGCACAACAATATACGCCAACATGGTTTTATATAGTGATTAATTACTTGTTGTTGTTGTTGTTATGTGCCGTCGAGTTGTTTGCGACTCATAGTGACCCTATGCACAACAGCCCTAAACCCTGCTCTATCCTGCGCCAACCGCACTGACTCCGACACACCCATCCTGATTACCCCAGTCACCGAATCAATCCATCTCATAGAGGGTCTTCCCCTCCTACTTACACATTAAAAAATTTCCCTAATGAAAAGACGACATTCTAATCAGCATCCAGCACCAGTCAGACACATGCACTCCAACAGTTTATTAGCATTATTAACTGTATTTTACAGATGAAGACATTCCTCAAGTAATCTTCCCAAGTCACACAGCTACTAGGGGCACAAGGGCATGGAGATGATGGGAAAAAAAAAACAAAACAACCAGTGAGCCTGCCTCTAATACCTATGTTATTAATGTCACTCAAGAGGCTTGTCACCGTTTCAAAAAAATTGTGGTCAGAGCCTAATGCCGGGAGCCCTGTGCAGGGGGTCTGGGAGCAGAGAGCCCTGTGTAGAGAGCCTGGGTGTGAAGAGCCCTCTGTAGGTGGCCTGAGTGCAGGGAGCCTGGGTGTAGGAAGTCCTGTGCAAGGGGCCTGGGAGCCCCAGCCAGGCTGGGGGCCTGATTGTTGGGAATCTGGATGCTGGGAGTCCAGGTGCTGGGAGCCCGGGTGATGAAGTCTGAGTGCTGGGAACCTGAGTATGGGAAGCCCCATGCTAGGGCCTAATCCTGAGATGTAATGAGCTCTACTTTCCTTCCCTCTGCTGTGTGTCCATTTCCTCTCTGGCAACTGCCATCAGGTGCCCAATGAGAAACTCAACAGTAGTCTGGACACAGATGATTTCAACAAGGAAAAAATAGTCTATTCACAAGGTCACATTCTTTTTATATAGTTATTAAAATAAACATATCTTCATAAGTTCTAAATATAAACCATTATACAAATATCACATTACTGCTCTGCCCTTTGAGTAATTTAATTCTTAATAGAGGCATATCTCAAGAGATAGCTTGAGTTTGATTCCAGCAAGACACACACATTTTTTGGGTTTTCTGGCCTGTATGAAAAGGATGTTTACATTATACAGTAGTCTAGTAAGTGTGCAATAATGGAATTATGGAAAAGTTAGTATTGTGAGAACTAACAAAACATAACAGAGACACAAAGTGAGCACTGCTGTTAGAAAACCGGCGTTGACAGACTTGGACTAAGGAGGGTGGCTCCAAATTTCCAATTTGCATAATACAGTGGAATGTAATAAAATGAGGTATGCCTGAAGTTCCTACCTACTGTTGTGTGATCCTTTCTCACTGCCAACAGTAACAACATCTGAAGTCGGCCTCTTTTTTTCATCTTCCCAGGCCATGCTATATTCTTTTTCCTGAATGTGTCAGGGATATGAGGATGGTACAGAACAGGATAGGGTTCAGATCTGCTGTTTATAGGGTCACTATGGGTCATAGTCAACTCAACTGCACTGAATAGGTATTTTCCAAATTCTCTCTCAAAAATCACATATAAGAAACACTCAATAAATCCATGTCTAATAAATCATTTTCAATATTGAAAAAAGGTTTCATATCTCTGTATCTATCATAAGAAATTAGAAAACTATGAGCAAAGTAAACCCATAATAAGAAATAGAAATAAATTTTAAAAAGAAAAATATTAATTAAATCAATATTCTTTGAGATCAGTGGCACTGATAAGCCAAACGGATCAGGGGGAAAAAAGGAGAAATACACAAAAGACAGTACTAATAGGATAATATTAGAGAAACCACCCACTGGCAAAAATTTGAAAACTAGGCAGTTAATTTATAAAATATTAACTACCAAAGTTCAAGAAGAAATATAACCTGAATAGCTTTATTAAAGAAACGGAATTTATAGTTAAAACTTTCCCACAAAGAAAATATCCCTAACATGATAATAAATTAGGAAATAACGTTACTACTAAAAAAATAGGAAACATTTTCCAATCCAATCTATAAAGAACCTAAACATGTTAAAACCAGAAAAAAATGTATAAGAAAATTACATATATATCATGAGCAAAAATGCAGAAGTTCTCAACAAAAAGTTATCAAGCTGAAACAAGTCAATATATAAAAAGGATACTACATCACGAACAAATGGCATTAATATAAGGGTACTTTAACAACTAAAAAGCTATCTAATTCACCATATCAACAGACTAAACAACATTATCATCTCAAGAGAAACAGAAAAGTATTTTTAAAAACTCAGTATCCCGTTATGACTTCATTTTTTTGTTTGTTAAAAAAAAAGGAAAAAAGAACTTCATCAACTCAATAAAATCATACAAACAAAAATCTACAGTTACACTATCCTTGCAACAATGAATGAATATTTAATAAAAAAAGTTAACTTAGGGAGAGAGAGGAGGTAAAATGTGCAACAAAGAATGAATGACAATCTAACTTTTCTGTAAACTTTTGTTAAAATCACAATTAAAATAAAAAATTTTCTTTCAAAAAAATCATCCTTATTATTAAAAACTAAAAGCTTTCCCCTGAATCAGGAATAAGGCACCTTTATGCATCATAAAGTGGGGTTGGGGGAGAGGAATTAAAAGGACAGAATAGAAAGGACGAAATATAAATGTTTCTATTCACAGATGATATGACTGTTGTTGTTAAGTGCCATCGAACTGCAGGCGACTCATAGCTATCCTATGAAGGAGAGTCCTCAACGCCTGGGTGTCTCTCATCCTCTCTCCAGGTTCATAGGGTTTCCGGAGGCAAGCTATTATGGAAGTGGATGCCATTCCTCCTTCCAAGCTTGTTTTATGGAGGAGCTCCACCCTACTCTCTGTCCGCATTGGGTAACCAACCATTAATGCATTTGACACATCAGTGTCACAGTGTTCAGCCTCATAGCAACCACAAGTTACAGCTGTATGGCAACTTGTACACCAGGGCTATACGTCCATTTTGAATTTATTTTCATCTTCAGTGTTAAGTATGGGCCTGCCATCAAGTCAAGCACAACTCATTGCAACCCTATCGACAAAAGGCCTGAAGCCTTTCTATAAACTATCATCATTTATCAAGTCCATATTTTCAAGAGGCATGTTATTTAGGAAGTGGATGCCACTCCTGCTTCTGTTGAAATCCTTTTGTCCCAGAAACATTTACTGAAGAAATTACTTCTCTGTCTTTTAGTACCTATATTAAAATATCAATTAGTCATAGAGGTACAGTTTTATTTCTGGACTCTGAATCCTATTCTATTGTCTATGTGCCTACCATGATACCAGTACTGGTATTGTTCTGAAATGAGGAAGTATGACTCCTCTTACTTTTATTATCAAGATATTGCTGGCTATCCAGGGCCCCTTGCAGTTTCATATAAATTCGAGGATTGGCTTTTCCATTTCTGCAAACAAGGCTATTAAAATTTTGATAGAAATTACATTGAATCCTTTTATTATTTTGTATATTGACACTTTAACAAATATTAAGAATCCCTACTTATGGGCATGGAAGGCCCTACTATTTATTTAGGGCTGCTCTAATCTCTTTCAGTGTTGTTTGCTGATGTTCAGTGGACAAGTCTTCACCTCTCTGGTTCAACTAATTCCTGCTATTTCTTTGTTTTAGATGCTATTATAAATGGACTGTTTTCTTACCTTTTCAGATCACTCATTGACCGTTTCCTATGTGTAGAAATCTTCTAGATTTTTATGTGTTGTCTTTGAGCACAGCATATCCCTTTTACCTATTTGGTCACAATTCAACTCCCTATTTCATTCTTTGAAGGTCTTTTAAAATTGTTTCTTTTTGTCAAATGTGTAAGTTTCCTGTTACCCACAAATTCTATGGGTATGCTCCCAACATCTTCAAATGTATCAGCACACATGCTACAAAGTGAACACAGCCTTAGGTGCATATCCTGACAGACCTCACTAACTTCAATTTATGATCAAATAATCACAGGGAGCTCTGGTAACAAAATCCACAGGAACAAGGGCTGCTAACCCAAAGGACTCACCTCTTTAGCTCTGACAGTCTGAATCCACCAGAACTCAAAGGGAGAAAGACAATCTCCTCCCATTTGATTTACAGCCTCTGAAACCCAATGGAGGGTCAGTTATGAGTCAGGTCTAATCTATGCCCCTTCCTACACAGTATAAAACAATGCAAATATTCATGTTGTTCTTCAGCTTATAGATTCCAGACACTTTCCTGGTATACAAATTGAGCTCAGAGATCAGAGGAATAAATCCTTTTTCTCTTTGAAATATTCGAACTATGTATGCTAGCCTGTCCTCAGCTTTCCAGAAACTTCCCTTCTACAGAATACTTCAAAGACCCTTGCCAGAGGGCTAACAATTTCAACAGGGAGAATGCCAGTTGTTTGAACATGAAACAACAGATTCAACTAGAAAAGGAAGGTGCTTTCTCCAATTTCTTTTCCTCGATAAGGCCCAGTTTGCTCATTCATTTTAAACACATTTCTGCATCTAAAACTTACTCCTCTTAACAAAGAACCTAAAACATAATAAACACAAGCTAGTGAGTCTTATTTCTCCATCATCTGACGGTTCATACACAGTTCTACTCATTTCTTAATATTCTTTGGCTTTGAGCCTAAAAAAGGTTATGAAATATAAACTTTTTTTCTAAAAAAAAAAAGGTCTAAGGGCATTCTAGATTTTGTAAGTCTCCACATTTTTCTACTCTTGAAGTCCCTTCCTGTTTACTTCAGAGGACTTAATATATAATAAAGGTAATTAAGCAAAATTGTAAGTAGGAAACATATAAAGTACTTTATTAATTTCTACATAGTGAGCTCTGATGGCCAAGTGGGTAAGGAGTTGCAGTGCTAATCCAAGGCAAGTGGTTCAAATACAACAGGTGTTCCTTGGAAGAAAGATGGGCAGTTTCCTCCTATATGATTTACAGCCTCTGAAAACCTGAAGAAACAGCTATTAGATGCTAACTCAGTGACAATGAGGTTTCTGGCTGGGGTATTTTGTTTGTTTGTCTTTTAATTCCTACTTACATACTACCTTCAGATGCAATCACCAAGATCGGGTCTTTTCCTGACCAGTAAGTTGAGAAAAGGAGATTCGGCAAATTTTATCTGTACTCTGAAGATCACGGAACTATTTCATAAGAATTTCACCAAAGAAAGAAAAAGGCAAGACAGAGAGGGAGAGTCACAGAAGGTTGAGTTTTCACATAACCTTAGGAGCTCCCATGTTTTCAATTTTTGTTGTTGCCTTTTACATGCACTTATATGACAAATAATATTTAATAATCTTTCCTTCTCCACTGACATATCTATTCCATTATTCCTCTCAGCTTTTCCAATTATTCTTATCAAATGTGTTGTTGTTGTTGTTGTTGTTATGTGACGTCGAGTCATTTGCGACTCATAGCGACCCTATGTACAACAGCCCTAAACTCCGCTCTGTCCTGTGCCAATCGCACTGTCCCTGACACTCCCATGCCAATTATCCCAGTCACTGAATCAACCCACCTCATAGAGGGCCCTCCTCTCCTGCGCTGTCCCTCCGCCCTCCCAAGCATGATGTCCCTCTCCAAGGACCGGTTTCTCCTCACAACATGTCTAAAGTATGTTAGACGGAGCCTCAGAATCCTTGCCTCCAAGGAGCCACCTGGTTTAACCCTTTCCAGGACAAATCTGTTTGTTTTCCTAGCCATCCATGGTATTCTCAATACTCTTCTCCAGCACCACAGCTCAAAGGCATCAATTCTTCTATCCTCCTTGGTCATTGTCCAACTCTCTGATGCATAACAAGTGATTGCAAAGACCATGGCCTATATCAGACGCACCTTAGTCTCCAAAGAGACACCATTGCTCTTCAGTACTTTGGAGAGGTCCCTAACAGCAGACTTTCCCATGGCAATGTGCCTTTTAATTTCCTGGCTGCTGGTGCCAAGACTGCTGACTATGGAGCCAAGCAAACTAAAGCTGTGTACAATCTCAATCTCTTCACCATCCATCCTGATGCTGCCAATTGGTCCAGTGGCGAGAATCTTTGTCTTCTGGACATGGAGCCTCAATCCATACTGGAGGCTGCAGTCCTTGACACTCTGCAGCAGGCGTTCAGGTCCTCCTCAGTTTCAGCAAGCAGGGTTGTGTCATCCGCATAACGCAGATTGTTGATAAATCGTCCACCAATCTTGACCCCACATTTCTCCTCATAGAGCCCAGCCTCCCAGATAATCTGTTCTGCATATAGGTTGAAAAGCTATGGAGATAGGATGCATCCCTGGCGTACGCCCTTCTCAGTTTTGAACCATGCAGTGTTCCCTTGCCACTAGGCCACCAGAGCTCCCTCATTTATCAAATGTAGCACTTTTTATTATATTGCCTTGATAAACCATATAGAAAAACAAGCTGCTTTTTACACCATTATTAAGCATTACTATTATTAAACAACAAACATACTTACCAGTTATCTATGTCAAAAAGCTAAGCTGTCTATTCCAATCTAAAGAGAACTGACAACTTTTCTACAATGACTATTTATTATTTTTCTTTTTAATCTTCTTTTTTAAAAAAAAACTTGAGACTAAATACATTTAAAAATTCAGAATATTCAGTTTTCCAACATTGCCAATTACCTTGAAGCATGCATCTGTAAGCAGACTCCGATATGGCGTAGATGTGGGGGGGCATCTCATGACGCTTCTTCCCTCTATACATCTCAATAATGTTCTCAGAGTAAATTGGGAGATTCTTATAAGGATTTATGACTACGCAGAAGAGTCCAGAATACGTCTACAATAGAAATAATACACAGAGTTAAAAAGCAAAACTGCATTAATCAGTCAGACTACTCTTCCCAGGAGATAGAAGATGTACATTAATTTGAACAGAGATCTCTAATATTTGGGTAAATCATCTATCCTCAAATTAAATCTAGCCTAAAACACTTGGCAATATTCTACTATGAACTATAAATAGTTCTCCCATAAACAGCTTATTAAGTGGCATTCTGCTGGATTTAATTCTCTAACCTGTTATATAGAAAAAGAACATGTTTTATGACTTTATAGGTTTACCCTAAAGTTCATGCAATGTTATCTACTTTATCACTAGTGCACAAGGTATAAAAAAATTAATGGACTTTTATATTCCACATAGAAATTAAACTTTAAGGAATTCTTTTTTTTTTTAATTGATTTCAATGAACATTTACAGAGATTTTGGATTTCCATTCATTCATTGTTGCACTTTTCTCCCCGCCCACCCCAACCCCATCCCCAGTTCGCTCTTCTCTTTGAAAAGAAAAATTCCTTTATTGGTATACAATCACCCACACACACCCCCACACCTTGAGTATACTCCACTCTGCAACCTTCATTCCAGACTCTTATGATAATCATAACACCCTATAATACTTTTAAAATGTTCTCTCCCTCATCTGTTTCAAGGTAGTATACATAATTCATCCAGTTTTTCTCATTCTTACCCCAACCCTGATGTCAGGAATTCTTATTTTAGTTTTCATATTGTTGTTGTTCACCTTCAAGTCAAAACTGACCCTCCAGGGGGAATGTCCATCTTTCTCCCGCAGAGCAGCTGGTGGACTTGAGCCAGGTACCTTGGGGATGGCGCTGAAGCTCCTTACCACAATTACCTGGAAAAGCTACTCAAATACTCCTCCCTTTTGCAATTAAATTATCTCCAGTAAGGCTGGATTTTCTTCATACTTATCACTGAACAAAAAAGTGCAAATGCATAAGCAGATACGAAAATTCTATCTTCTCTAAAGATATTAAAGAAAAATGTAAAATGTAAAACTTATCACTGTCATAATTTTTTGTTTTGGGAAAGTATACCCTATTTTATTTAATAGAAAGTTACTTATGAGGGAGCTCTGGTTGCCTAGTGGCAACAAGCTGCACTGCAATCCCGAAGGAGTGCAGTACAAATTCACCAGATGTTCCACTGTAGAAGGAGGGGCAATCTCCTCTGGTGCCAGTCAGATCCGATTAGACGGTACACAACAAGAAAGAAAAAAAAAGTTATTTATGTTATTTGCTCTAGATTTACCATTGCTTTTTAAAAAGAATATTTAGACATCTGCTCTTTGGGGCAAAATTCTTGTTTGTCAAATACTGCAGGCAAATTAAGACAGACTAAGAATTTTCTCTGTGAAAATTCTTTCCATGTCTTCTGCCCATTTTGTAATTGTGTTATCAGACATAAACTGAAACTTATACACCAAATTTCATAGCAGTGTTATTCACCATTGCAAGAATATGGAACAATCAAATGGATTGAGAAATTATGGTACCTTCATACGATGGAACACTATGCAGCACATAGGAGCAAATGGTTTTGTAAATCATTACCTAACTTGGGAGGGACTGGAGAGTATTATGCTAAGTGAACTAACTTTGTCTCATAAGGACAAATACTGCATAAGACTATTATTGTAGAAATAGATCGTAAAATGTGTTTAAGGACCTAACAGGGGGAGGATGGGAGCAGGGGGTGAGGACAGGAGTGGTAATCACAGGGTTGCCCAATTTGATGGGTGGAGGGAGGGGTGGGTAAAGGAAACAGAAAAGATGCAGTGTGAAAAAGAATGTGTACAAATTTTTTAAGTAAACCAGTATAAAATAAAAATTATAAATATATATATAATATTAAAAATTATAAGGAAATGCAGAGAAAAAAAATCACACAATTGCCTTATAAAATAGATGCTATGCAAAGTGACCTATGATGACCAAAATTTAAAACAAGACACTAAAAAAGGCTAAGGGATGATAGTACTTGCCTCCACAGCCTGCTTCATAGTGAACACCAAGGAGGATTCTAAGTTTCATACACCAGTGCTGAAAAGCTTAGCAATTGCCACGAGAAAGCACTCTAGAGACTTTTCTATTTTAAACATTGTAGTTAATAAATCTAAATACTAATGCAATTCCTTTAAGAGCAGGAAAGCTGATAACAAAAAAGGGACAGTAGCACAGTAACACCAACCATTTCTCTAGCTGTGCTCCCTGTGTCTTCTCCACTCACAGCTTATGCACTGATGAATGTTTTCCCACCTGGACTATGGAGACAGAAGTAAAGAGCCTCTATACTATACTCACTGACTTGGCCTCTGGCTGCTAATGCCTTTCTTTTGAATGTGACCAACTGCCCTTACTTACTCCTCCTTTGTTGACCAATTAAGTCTCCAGACTCTTTCTTTTCTCAAACATACAGTATACCTGCTTGAACTGTGGTCCACTGTTTAAGTTCCTAGACGACCTTGTAGGAGTTGTAGGAGCTCTCATGGCAAAGTGTTAACCAAAAGACCATGAGTGGCAGTTCAAATCTACCAATTGCTCCACAGGAGAAAGATAGGCATTCTCGTCCTGTTAAGATTCACAGCATTGGAAACCCACTGGAAGGTCACTATGAATTGAAATCAACAACAGTTCATTGGTCTGTGGGTGTTTTGTTTTTTTTTTATTTTGAGATTATCTTGTACTTTTTCCACTAATAAAGTGTCTTGTCAAATCAGTCTCTCCATCACTCATAACACAGAAAACAATGGGCAACAATAAAAGTAGGTTTATATTAAGGGTGGAAAAACTAAAAAAAGGCAATCTCAATCTTTCTTAGTTAACTTAAGTATATATCTTGATACTTTTTTTATATACAGGGTGTTTTTTTCATTCAAAAATTAGATCATTATAAAATGAGATCACAAACTACCATAAAGCTACAGATTCTACCGTTTGTTTTCATAAAAGGCAAATATAATAGACTAGAAAAAAGAAACCCCACAAAAAAGGGGGACAGGAATTGAAGAAAGTTCAAATATGCAAATTCAGCCTAAATGACATTTTCCCCCCTTTTTTATTTTTTATTAATTTCAGTGAACATTTACAGAGATTTTGGATTTCCATTCGTTCATTGTTGCACTTCCCCTCTCCCCCCGCCCTCCCAGTTTGCTCTTCTCTTTGAAAAGTAAAAGAAAAATTCCTTCATTGGTATACAATCCCCTTGTACTCCCCCAACCCCACCCCAAGTATACTCCACTCTGCAACCTTCATTCCTAATCATAATGCCCTATAACACTTTTACACTGTTCTCTACCTCATCCGTTTCAATGCCATAGACATAATTCATCCAGTTTTCTCATTCCTACCCCACCCTGATGTCAGTCCCATTCTATGGCAGTAGCACTATGCAAGTGTTTGTCCTTTTGTGACTGAGATATTTTCACTCATCATAATGTCCTCCAGGGTCACCCATTTTGAATAATATTGCATGAGTTCCTTGTTTTTCAATGCAGCATAGTATTCCATTGTGTGCATATACCACAGTTTCTCTATCCTGTTTGTTGATAGGCACTTAGGTTTTTTCCAACTCCTTGCTATTGTGAACAAAGACACAATAAACATGGGTGTGCATATATCTGCTTAAATGTCAGTTATGGTCTCTTTAGGGTATATTCCCAGTAGTGGAATTGCTGGGACAAATCGTATCGCTATTTGCAACTTTTTGAGAAAGCGCCACACCGCTTTCCACAATGATTGCACCATTTTACACTTCCACCAATAGTGAATAAGGGTTCCAGTTTCTCCACAACCTCGCCAGCATTTGTTGCTTGCTGTTCTGTTAAATTTTGCTATTCTGACTGGGGTGAGATGATATCTCATAGTTGTCTTGAATTGCATCTCTCTTAGAGCTAGGGATTTTGAACATTTCTTCATGTGCTTGTTGGCCATCTGAATGTCTTCTTCAGTGAAGTATCTGTTCATATCCTGTGCCCATTTTTCTATTGGATTATTTACCTTTATCTTGTTGTGGTGCTCAAGTATTTTATAAATTCTAGATATAAGTCCTTTATCTGACATGTCATTACCAAATATTTTTTTCCCAGTCTGTGGCTTCCCTTTTTACCCCGTTGGAGAAGTTTCTGGATGTGCATAGGGATTTGATTCTTAGAAGGTCCCATTCATCTATTTTATCTTCTCCTGGTTATAGATTGGGTTGGGTATTAAGGATCAGGTAAGAAGCCCCAATGTGGTACAAGGATACTTGGAGGACTGTTTATGTTGTGGATTAGGACTACTTGAGTTCTTCCAAGCTTTTCTTTAATGAAGTTTATTGTCCTTGTCCTAGGTCCATGATCCACCTAGAGTTGGTTTTTGTGTATGGAGTGAGGTGTGGATCTTGCTTAAGTCTTCTGCAGATAGTTTTCCAATTTTGCCAACACCATTTGCTAAAAAGGCTGTCGTTTCTCCACTTAACTGATTTCATCTCCTTGTCAAAAATCAGTTGATCATAAGTAGATGGGCTAATTTCTGGGTTCTTAATTCTATTCCATTGATCTATGTGTCTGTCATTGTACCAGTACCATGCTATCTTAACTACCAAAGCAGTATAGTAGGCACAGTAACATTTTTAATTGGAAATGATTCCCATATGATTGACCATTTGTCAAGCACTTATCTAAAGACTAGATTATAAAGATGAGTAAGACTCACAATTATGAACATGTCATTAAAAACCAAAAGGTTAAATAAATCATCAGTATCCTGTATTGCTAAAAGGGGAAGTAATAAACACTTAAGTGGAAACTAGTTTTATATGCTTAAAGGGCTAACTTCCAACAACTTACAAATGGATCTCAAATACAGGCCTGAGAAGAGCTCTGGGTGCACAGTGGTCCAAGAGCTCAGCTGTTCAGACCCACCAGGTGCTCTCTGGGAGAAGATAGGGCAGTTTGCTTCCCTAAAGATATAAAGCCTTTGGAAAACCTATGC